TCTTACGCATATTATAAACTTATAGTCTGTATAGTGTATACAGTCATGCAATTTTAGTTTAATGGGTTTTTATTACCCACAAAATAAGTATGCAGCTTCTTTTTTCCACTCCTACTACAATCAAGTATATGCAGCTTGTGAAAATGTTCGACTCTTTTGGAATAATGCCAATAGAAATACTGTTATCATCACAATTCACGAACAAAATTGTCACACACTTTCTGCTAAGTGCTAAGTGCTAAGTAATCATTAGGCGTCCAAAATTTATACTATGATTTTTGATAATTTTTCTGAAACAAAACAAAATTTGCTATTCTTATCTTAAGTACTAGAATAAGTCTTTTTCCTTCATAAATGTTTAAATTAATCATAACCTCATAATTTGGTATTATTTTGTTTGTTTCCCACGTTTGGGCATTGTACGTCTTTCTTTTGGGGTTTAGACTCTATTGCCTGATCAATAGGTGGATTGGGGATGCTACGCGTACGTCTTGAAACAAAAGTTTTTCCTCTTGCTGATGCGAAACGAGCAGGAGCCATTGCAATGTTTGGAGAAAAATATGATGATTTTTTTTTTTTGCTAAACGGAAAAATATGATGATGAGGTAAGAGAGATGTCATTATCAACAATTTTCAAGATTGGATTGGCTCTGTTAAATGTCAGAACAGTATAGTAGTCAAGCAGTTTCATAGATCTTGAAATGATGAGAACCACATTAGTATGAAGTGTTTCATTTTGGATATATTTGATTTGGCTTGACTAAGGGGACCCAATTACATTGATCGCAGGTTTGTGTAGTCGAAGTTCTTGGTGTCTCATAGAGTAAGAAGAGCACATATTTTTATCATGGAAAAGTGAATCTAATGTATAGATAAAGATTTAAAGACATTTGTTTTTATCTTAGACCATTTACTTGTTCAATAAATACTGTATCAAACTGAGACAAATTTGATAGGATCAAAACTAGAAGGACTCTTTGTGGACAAACAGGTAGTCTTAAAGGTTTTTTTAATGACTTTTCTTGTTTTTTCGATTTTTCCCCCGATTTAAGAAATATTACCTTTTGAAAAATTATTTTTCTGAAATCATTATTTTATATAGGAAAAACTCTTTATGAAAAATTCTAAAAAGCATGGTAGATTTTTTTTGATATATAAATATTTTTATAGGTTATTTTAGCAACTTTTCCTTATTTAAAAAAGAAAAAAAATTCTTATAATTATTTTTTTAACATCTAATACATCACAAAAATGTATTTTTTTCTAATGCTAGTTTTGGCTTTTCAATATTTGTTTAAAGTAAAAGGAAAATAGTATTTGGTTTAGCTTCTGAATTATTAAAAACAAATTATGAGAACAGTTACAGAAAAAAACTAAAACTTGGTAGATTATTTTGATCGTTTATCAAGCCAAAATCTTTTACTAGATTTATCATTTATGAACAAACGAATGTTTTTTTATGATGGGGTGTATGATGGTGTAAGGAAAATCACGGTTGGGTAAGCACACGGTAACGGTGGCATTGCCTACATCAAGATTGAATATGTTAAAGATGGAAACGTGGTGGAATGACAACATGGAAGTGATAGGGACAAGGAATTACAGAGGTTTGTCTTTTACATTTTTCTTTAGAAATACTCATATCTCTTTTTCTCTGTGTTTTTGTTTGCTATGTTCTTCAGTCTGCTTTTGCCATTGATTACCCACACGAATACCTTACATGATTTACTGGATCATATCGCTTTGGTATTAGTAAGAGAGTCAGCACAAACAGCTTGTGGAAGTATCAATTCGAGACATCAAGAGGGAGAATATCTCAGAAGTTTGGTTCTAGTTTTGCACAACCATGTGGCATGTTCTGTTTGGAGAAAAATGGAGCAAAAATTTTTGGGTTCAATGAAACTTGTGATGATGATGGTCTGGTTGCTATTTGGCTTCCGAGGAAAATCATCCATGGATCGCCTCTATGCTCTCGGGGCATATTTTTTTGTGATTCCTCCCTTTGAAGTATACATGTTGAAGGTGGAAACTTAGGTGTAGAATGGAGCGATGGACCGCACGACAAATTTGGAAGATAACCGCAAAGTTCTCGGAGATGAACATGGATGGCGCCGAACATTCCTAGATACTACTCGTAAGGTAAGATTACTTTTATTTTTCTAACTAATTACTCAACTCAACATGTTTATATAACTTTTGTTTTCATTTTTCATTTTTGTAGTTTACCCTCCCTAGGGATGAGAACCTCACTGCCATAGAAGTTAACATGATAGATGTTGTAACCGAAACCATGAAAGCTTACTTCACATCCATGGATGTTCACCTCGACGATCTTGAATTCGGATCCCGAGCCCTAACCGACAAACCCGAAGCCCTGACGTTCCGTAGGTTCAAGACAAACAAGGGAATGATTGGGATGTTAGGAAAGGAGGAAGAGTCAAGGAGGTACGAAAGCACAAGGGTTGTGTTGGGAAAGGAAGGTCACAAGATTGTAGGCTTCTTTGGAAGATCATTCAAGCATCTTGAACAGATTGGCATCTACGTCAAGGCAATCAACTAGTTTGAAACCACCATTTTATCTATGCCACTGTTTTGGCGTCTACATGAAACCAGTCATTACTTTTGAACCATTTTATCTATGTCACTCTTTTAATCTCCCTCTTTAGCTTTAAGTTGTTGGTTATTGTTTGTTTCTGTTATTTCTGGTTGCTACCAACATCCTTTATAATTTTCAGCTTGGTTTTATGTTGTAGTGCTTGTCCAAACTAATGAATTAATCAATCTAT